ACAATGACAAGAGTGGCCACTTGACTTATAGGGATTATGGGACGTTTCCAGAGGCTGATCACAGTGCAGTAACGCAACACCTCGTTCACACTGGCGCCGTGGCGCTCCAGCGGGGGCACAGCAAATGTTATTCCACTCACCGAGGTGGAGTATGTGCCTCGCCAGTGTGGACGGGGAGTGAGTTAGGGCGCCTGGGGCTGCTTTATTGCGCTGTAACTCACAAGTGTAGTCAAGGCCTTAGATGCTTCTCACCGCAGGCTGGCTGGTGGCACTTCAGCCAGGCTCTCCCCTTTGATCAGCTCTTCAGTTGCTTGCTATGGTGTCTGTAGATGTAGGTGGAAGAGAGCGCGAGAGAGAGCATGGCAAATGTCTCTCCCTTTTATCATGTCCTTTCTTCCCTCTTGGCTTTGCCCCCTCCCCTCAGAGTCAGGTGAGCATTACCTCATCGCAGTTCCAAACTGACCAAAGAAAGGGGGGTGACTCCCTCGAGAGATTCTTTTGTTGCTGCCTAGGCCACTGCCCTTTGTTCCTGTGAGGCTGGGCTGGGTTTGTCCCATCCTCGCCCTGATGAGGTGTGGACTGACCCTCTGCTTCTGGCTTCTGCCTCTGCTTCTGGAGAGTTTTTGCCTGGGCTTGCTTTAAGCCATGAGGATACATTTTCAGCCTCATAACTATATACATGAAATTATAACCTATAACATCACTAACAACAATGCTCGGTACATCATGAGCCTTCCGAAGGCACCCAACAAGACAAACTTTACATTGAATACCACACAATCATTTTACAAGGATGAATATGGGGGTGTAGGCTGTTCCCCCTAGGTACAGAGCATTACAGACTGTGTCAACTCTACAACATGATACAGGTCCCACAATCCCCAGTTTGGCCAGTAACATGGGTCACAGGGTGGTTATGGAGGTCCCCATAGCATGGGGTACCAGCAGTTTTAAGGCAGGTAATAGGATGCAGGTTGGTCCGGATCCCAACTGGGAAGGCATGCCTCAGAAGAGGAGAAGTCTGTTCATCGGGTGCTTCACAGTCTCCTGAGAAAATTAATGCCAATTCTGGATCCACTGGCAGTACTAAGAGTTCCACTGGAGGGAAACTAAGGCTAGATGATATGGGAGGAGTCTCTCTCCTATTCTAAATTGCATCTTGTGGTGGACTCAGGACCTCTCTCATAAGCAAAGGACCTGATGGTGATCAAGACTGGTGATCTGAGCAAACAATAATGTCCTCAGGTGGAGCATAAGACACTGCTCTCCCTTAAGTGCCAGACATCCTGTCAGTCCAAACTGAAGGGGTTGGAGCAGTTACTGTTTGTGCCATAGTCAGGTGAGGCAGAGCCAGTACCGTTGATGATGGAGGCTCTCAATGGTTGCCTTTTGTTGTTGCCTTCAGTTCTCAAAGTTGAGGGTTGGTTAATGCCAGAGGCACTGTTGCCACTGGAGCGTGGTCTGGTGCTGACAGAGCCCTGGATTTATGGACTTTCTTGTCATGATCCTAAGACTTAGGATGTTCTAAGTCCTCCTGGGCTGAGTGGAAAGACTTGCTCAACTTAGGCAGGGTTGTATCCGACTTCCTTGAAGTGTATTTAGAGGATTTGCTCTTGGGTTTATAAGAACATTCCCTGTCCTTCCAACAAGACCCTACAGGGGTTCTCTGGGGGGTAGTTTCTCTCGCTCCTAAATGAGACCGTGCACCAGGAGGGCACTCTTTGCTGAGTCAGGCTGAAGTACTGAGTGGGCCCCAGCCTGGGTCCGATTGCAACTTCAAAGTCTTCTCTATTAAAGCTTCTTAAGGTGGAGTTCCTGCACTTCACGGGTGCAGCTGGGGAAAGAGCTTCAAATACTGCACCTTGCCACAGTACGATTTCCCTAAGGCAGTACAGGCAGCTCCGATAACCATCATTGACTGAGGAGCAGCACAGATTTTGAAGCCTGGATTCCAGGGGATAGGATGGGGGCGAGGGAAAGGGAGGGTGGAATTCCCCAGTATGGAGAATCTAACTATAAAACTTGGTTTAAGCTACTGGATAAAATTCTAAAAATATGTATTTACAGATAGAAGAATAAATGAAGATGAAGCTCTGGACACTGGAGGCTCCAACAAAGGCCATGCAGCAGTGAGAAGGAACTGGAAAGACAATCAGTCTGCTCCACCCTTTATGTCCTTGGTTGGATGCATAATTGGATGCATGAGAAGAGCAGTGGTGCTTGCATGGACCAATGGACATTGCTTTCAAGAATTCTCCGACTCCTTGAATACGAAGCATATGCATAACCACAGCGAAAGACACACAGGGAATAGCGCTTGAAGGCGAACCTATAATTTCACATCTTCCTACAGATTTTATAGCATATGCCCTCCTGCTGAAACTGCTCTAAATTGTATTCTGTTATTAGTGCAAAGCAGCCTTCTATTCTCACCCTGTTTTTCTTTTCCTTGCCATATCTTTGAGATTTTATAATAAATATTGTATGTTCATGAAAAACATTCACATGCATATTTTGTTTATGGAGATCTGTTTATTGTTGCCTTCAATGTTTGTTGGAAATATGGATATTACTACAAAAGTGTCTCAGAGAAACTCCATTAAAATTAGCCTTAAGCATGAAGGAAAAATATACATTCACCGGTGCCAATCCTGAGTGAAGGGATTTTTTCCACACATAGGAAGCAAAACCAATAAAATTTGAGAACCTCTTTTTGCTTTTCATGCATTTCTTCCTGCTTGGCAACTAGTGAAATTTAGGTGGGAAAAATGTAATTACCTAATTAAAATGCGGGCATGACTTCAAGGTTCACAGTCCTATTCTTTCAAATAAATATCACAGGTTCATTAGTGACTAGAAGTTTCAGGACCTCAGTTTTAGTTTTTATCAATAGAAAGGATTCCTTGCCATCCTGGTGGGGCATCACTGAATCAGAGTAGGGTATTGACTATTGAATAATCAATGTTAGTTCCATTCCTGAAAAACATACGCTTTCCTTGAAGATCTCCAATCCATACTTAGCTATCATTAACTTGATATCTGAGATCACATGTTAAAGTGGCATGGCTGAAGCCACAAAACTAAGTGGAGCCTGCAGTGAGCAGGAATCATAATTCAGGCCTTCAGCTAATGCTAGTGCTTACTACTTTAGTCATTTATCCAAGATTTACGTTCAGTCTAGACAAGGTCATTTCTTCCAAGAAGTCAGAACAGAAAAGAAATTTATTCACTTAGGGGAGACAACCTAGTTTCTGGGATTTTTCAAAATTACATAAGAACTTTTGCTGACAAAATCTTTAAAGTTTAAAGTCTACCCTTAGACAAATACAAATCCTATTGATCAATCCAATGTCTACTTATACCCATTGAAGGGGTCACTCCCTTTGACGTGGCAGTCAAGAAGCTAGAGGGTCCACTCAGATAGCCTTAGTAATGATTTCCCTCCAGGTAGTTTCATCCATTCTGTGATATACTGGTAGGCTATAGCAGTTGACTAGAACAGGGGTTCTCAACCTGGGGCGGTCAGGAGGTTATTACATGGGGGGTCGTGAGCTGTCAGCCTCCACCCCAAACCCCGCGTTGCCTCCAGCATTTATAATGGTGTTAAATATATAAAAAAAGTGTTTTTAATTGGGGGGGGGGGAGGGAGTGCCACACTCAGAGGCTTGCGGTGTGAAAGGGGTCACCAGTACAAAAGTTTGAGAACTAGTGGACTAGAAGAAATGGTCGCCTCCAAAATTATTTATTTTCACAAACAGAAAAATTCACAACTTGTGGGACTCATTGCTTCTTTTAAGGTACCTTTACCAGCAGTACATTAAGGCTTGGTCTACACTACCCCCCCCTAATTCGAACTAAGGTACGCAACTTCAGCTACGTGAATAACGTAGCTGAAGTTCGAAGTACCTTATTTCGAATTAGTTCAAACTTACCTTGGTCCACACTCGGCAGGCAGGCTCCCCCGTCGACTCCGCGGTACTCCTCTCGGCGAGCTGGAGTAACGCAGTCGACGGCGAGCACTTCCGGGTTCGACTTATCGCGTCCAGACTAGACGCGATAAGTCGAACCCAGAAGTTCGATTTCCAGCCGTCGAACTTGCCGGTAAGTGTAGCCAAGGCCTAAGATTCCTTGTGTTAGAACCAGAAATATAACAACTTGTGGCTCCACCCACAGGGTAGATCTTTTAACACATATTTTCTTTCAATGGAGTCATTGCCTCAGTAATGCTGTGGATAAGGTACTTGATGGCATAGTTAGAGAGAGCATCTCACTACCAAGAATTTTGTCAGATCCAGTCTCCATCTACTTCTAAAGGTTTTTCTATCTATTGCTGTTCCTACTATGCTTCAAGATTGGCTATTCCAAACCTTCTCCAGTTATTCATTTTGGAACTACTGCCTACAAAATCTTCCTCAGTTGCGAAACACCACAAGGTCTAACTGGGGCTCTGACTGTCCCAGAGAACATTCTTTCAATAGGAAGATTATCCTTTTTACAGAAAGTCTAGAATACGATCATCTCAGGTTGGATGGTCTCTAAAATGTGCAAGAAGGTCCACAAGAGTTTTTCCTTTCTCTTCCCCTTCAATCCAATCCTCCTGACGCCCAGTCCTCTAGAAAAAATAAGGGTATATATAGAGCCACCACCCAGGATCTGTAGCTAAAAGACAGCTATATATGCCATTTACTGCCTAGAACCCCGAAGTTCACAAATAGATATTTTTAGAGTGTCTACATGGGTGAGGTGTAATATCTTTTATTGGACCATCCGTTGGTGAGAGAGAGACATGCTTTCGAGCTTAGATAGTGCTCTTCTTTGGGTCATGTTTTGCGGTATATCTTAGGTCAAAAATCACTGAACCAATCTATGTCCGAAGATTCTAAATCAAAGCCATCTATCAGTATGGATATTAGTAAAAGGTAGAAATGGAGGATGCCTACTTGCACATTGTAACAGCAGATGGTGGTGCACAGTAACAAATTCTCACAGAGAAGGGCATATTAGCTCATGAAGTTTTTTTTATTTAAACACAGAAGTAGGAAGACTTTCTAGTCATCATTCAGAGATTTACAAAATAATTTTTCTCTTGCTATAATCCTCTCTGTTCTTCAATCCAACAAAAAGTATTGAGACACATCTTGGAGATAAGAGGCCATCTCCCCAGGATCTCCATAAGGAGATGTTGAAAACTCTGTGTGTTCTTTTTGGCAGAAGATCTACCTCTCCATCCACCCTTGGCTGCCTCTCCAAAGCTTCTTTCCTGCACCTTGCAAAATCCTTCAGGTACTATGTGTCACTTGGGGGACACTTCTTCATCAAGCTCTAGAACATATCCCACCTACTTTCCTATGAGTGAAAGCCTCCTTCAAGTGATAGAAGCAGTCCTTTTCAGGGACATGAATCTGAGAACCAAAGTGGTAACTGGCATTCTGAATGCCAGTCTCATCAACTAGAGAGCTCCCATGAGTGTACAAAGGAAAACTATTTAGCAAAAATTCTCCCTATATATCACTTATCTAGAAAGAAAAAGTTATGTAAAAACTAGAGCAGAGTTGGGAGATCATCCGTCACACACAAGTTTTAGTTTGTAGAGATACCTAAACTATTCAATGGCTCAGGAACACTAGTGGGGGGGAGAGGGAGAAATGTGTGTGTGTCTGTCAAATTGACCACTAGCATAATCAAGTATAATTTATTATTTCAAACAAATCGCATCCACTTACGCTAGCAGTGAAATTGGCCCTGGACTTCAAAGAGATGTTAGAGCAGAGTCTATTTCCTTTACAAGTGGAGCTATGATACTTAACCAATACTAAACTTAGTTAAAAAGTGTCAAAGAGAATCTCTCATAGTTGTTGGCTGTTGTGTTAGAGAAGACAAACCTGATGGTAGATTCTCTTGCCTAGAGAACTGTACACTCAATAGATCTTGGTTTTGATTTATTCTCTGCAAAGAAGGATCAGTCTGAGATAGATATTCTCTTTTTCAGGGAAACCAGTAATATATCTTCTAAAAAAGGTCAGAACTTAGGCCCAATTGTCACAACAGTGGCTGTGGCCAACAAATTTTCAAGAATTGTGAGCGCAACTAAAAAGTATGTAAAAGTTCATAAAGTGTTAAAATAAACTAGAACAAATGTTGATGGGAAAAGGTACAAAAGGAAGATAGAATAACTAAATTAGGCTAAAGAAGGTAAAGTTGAGATGATTCAAGGATTGGATTGAAATTATGCATTAAAAAACAGATGTGGAGCCAGAAGTTAATGAGCCAAAATTGGTACATTGGATAGTAGGCCTAGTTGGTGGACAAAATAATAAGAGGAGGGGCTATTCTACTCATCAAGCCCTTTCTGGGTCCTTAAAAGAAAGATTTTGTGGGGAAAATGTGAAAGAACAAAAATACCTAACACATACTTAAAATAACAGATGGAGACTACTGAACCAAACTTCATCATCAGGGCTGCCACTACCATCCCCTGGGACTTCTTCATCCTCATCTGGAAAAATGACCACACCAGGCCAGAGAGAGGGACCCAAAGGACATCACCAGCCTATTAGCTGGGATGAAATGATTTTAGCAGCAGCAACAGCTCCAGCTCTTGCTCATCTCAACTAACTTTTTTCTCAGACGGACAGTTACTGCCATCATTAACACCATCAAAGAGACTGTCAAACAAGGGTTTTTTTCCTTCTAAAACTCTCTCCATCCTGAAGGGAAAGGGAACAAGAAATTTTAAAATGAAAGTCTTATTTAATACTTCACATTGTAAATGCTTTAACTGTTTTGCCTTCTCTTCTCTATCTTTAATATAAAGTTAAAGGGCTTTTTAATGATGTTTGTGCCATGGTACTAAGCAGGCTGACATCTCTGTACACCAAATCCCTTGTTCGAATTGTTTAATGTTTGACAGTGACTGGGTTACATTAACACCTTTGGCACATTTATTCTATCACTATCTTCTCTGCTTATGTAGCCCAGGCTAACACCAAGTGGCTCTTTGTCTTTCTTTAATGGCTAGACTAGCCACTTTCTTTGCTAGTACCTTGAACTAATGGAATTGGTAATTTATATCTCTGGGTGGGTTGTCTGCCAGGTTTGAACACAGAATCTCTGAATTTAAAAGCAGGAGCCTCTACCTCTAGAGCCAAAGGACCAGGTTGATTAGTTTAATGAAGTAGCATATTCATAAATTATTATTTGTTAACTCTACCCCAATTTTCCCTGTGTGACATGTTGGGCAAGTCATTTAAGTTGTAAATCCTGTTTTCTTACCTACAAAATGGGAATAATACTATTTACCTAATGCATACAGATGGATAGGGGAGGTTAAAATGTTTGTAAAGTACTTGTTCGTAACAGACTTGCAAAGTATTATTTCTTATTTTAACTAAATCCTAGATTGATTGTATTGCTTTTCATTAAAATGGTGTTAGGAGAGGGTTGTTGGTTTTGTTTTAGTGTTCAATTAGGCTCAAATTTGTGGCTTTCGTTTACACTACAGTTTTCTTTTTCCTCCTCCTGCTACAGAAATATTGCCTTGAAATACTTGTGAAGCAGGAGAAAAAAAAATTAAAAAAGTCAAGCTGATCTACTTACTAGTAGGTGCAATATATACCTTCAAATGAGACTCATGCTTCTGAAGTCAGGTAAGAAATGATATCCAACCTTTTATAGCTCTACTCTTCCAGTGACATTTCCAACAACCTCAAATCTTACCAATTTGCTTAGAGAATGTGTTGCTAGCTAAACATGCCTAGCATTGGACTAGTCCACTATCCAAGAACTGTATTAACATTTTGAACTTATCTCCAGAGCTAGCTTTTCCTAGTGATCAAACCCACTACAGATGTGGTAACATGCAATTGCCAGGGGGAAAAATTGATTTCATCTACCTCTGCTATGACTTCTGCTACTCCAAAGGAAATTGGTTTCAGCCCTTCTCTCTAGTAGACAGTAGTAGTAGTATCAGAAGGCATGTAAGGGAGAGAGAAATAGATTAGATACAGAGAGAGAAAAAAAGTGGATTTTAATGAAAGCACACACTTGACAGGTCTATCACTAGTTCCCTCCTATATTTCATAAGGACAGCTAGCTGCATGATCTGGGAAGTCTTCCCGCTTTTGGGAAGAGGAGAGAAAGAATTAAAACTACAAAGGGCATGTCACTGGGTGGGCTCCCTCACCCTGGACTTTCCTTTGCAAGCAGTCCTCACACATTCTTATGTAAATTCACCACAGTGCACTTTATTTTCAATGTTTTATGCAGCTTCATGTCCCGTCACCATAAGGCTTTCCCCAAGTTTCAGCAGACCTGTTAGGCATGGGGGGGAGGGAAGGGGAAAGAGGTCCTAAGTGTCTTTGCCCTTCTTTCCAGCCTCTCTTTCCCCCTCTGCCTTCCTGTCTCCAGTTTAACAGTCCCCAGCTGACAAGTTAATCCTCATGTTAACTGGTTAATCACCCAGACCTAATCAATTTGTGCACTTTGTAAGCGTCCCCACATGTGCCAGAGTGGTGAGACAACCTTAGGCTACTTCTGCCACAGGACAGAACTAGACCACTGTGTGGAGCTTGGAAGACACGTCCTGGGGCTACAGAGGGGTGGGAGGGGAAAAGCATGAGCCACCTATCCATTCTATTTTACATGGGTAGATAAAATGCACTGCCTCTGACCACATTAAAAAAAAAACCCCCACACACATCTAAAGTGCAGAATACTGCATAATCTTAAATTGCTCGAACTATATCATCTATGCCATATAACATCAAATAGCTAGAGAAACACATACAGTAGGGTAACATTTTAGATCATAATCTTGATTGTTTCAAGACTAGTCACTGCATCAAAACTTAAAATTAAGCCTTTGAATATAACCTTTTTCCTATCACTAATCTTAAGAGTCAACATTTTACACTGCAGATTTTGACATGGTATTACTTGGTACAGATTTTGATTGCTTCTATTATGCAGACTTTGAAATTCAGAAGTAAAAAAATAAATCACACCTTACTATTGTATATTTCAGTACTTCCTTATGCCAGCTATAATTAGTGGCAAAAAACAGGATGACAAAACATTGAATTATTTTACACCTTTACAGTGAATTAACTGCATCTTATTATTTTTGTTTTTGAAACAGTGGACAATCAATGCACAAAGGAACTTATTTACATGGAGCATCATCACATTCATCTTTGTTGGATCATCTCATGTAACCACGCAAAATGCTCGGCTGATGAAGGTTGGTGCAGACTTAGAATGTAACAGATGATCAGTTATTATGCAGAGAACAGTAAAAGAAAAATAACTAACAATGAGTTACAGTGTTAGGTTTTTACATTCTACAAACTGAGTAAAGATAGAGTAGACCTTTTTTATGAATTTACAGAGTTGAAGAAAGGACTTGGTATAAACCAACTGAAAACTTCTTCAGAGATTATGGAAGTGAGGCTGGTTTAAAGTATAGTTATAATGTTATGAGTAGAGAGTCAGATCTCCTTACTTCGCTGATTATTTTTTTTAAACTCTGGCATCAGCACTGTCACACCACTTTTGCTATAGAAGAGCAAAAATTCTGATGTGTTTCATGCATCTACAGGAATGGCAAGCTAACGTTTGGTTACATTATCGTTGTTCTTTACACCTCTTACATCACCCCAATACTACAACTTAATTACAAACTCTAGGTGGAGTATGTAGTGCTGGCAATTTTACATAAATGGAGTATATTTGATATAGAAATTCTTGAGTAAAAACGAGCAATCCAGTGACATTCATTTTACAATCACTTTTCTGATAATAACCACACTTTAAAATTTCTCTTGTAGATACTAAGGATTGCTTTCATTTGATATTAGATTATACCTCTTAGTAGTCAATTCCATGCAAATTAACTAACTAACTAAATCAATGACTGCCTACTTCTCTAGACAGAAAAGACACTTGTTGCAGGTGCTGAATGGTCAACCTATACTAAATTTAATAATAAAGTTCTGACTTAGTGAACTATAGGTATTAGATCACTATTTGATGTTTGCAAAGAGTACTGAAATATGTTAATATTCATTTTGTTTTAAAATTGAAACATTTCATAAAGGATCTTGCATTGAGATTCACTATCATTATATTGCTTACTTTAAACAGATTCAGTCTCTTGTAATCCATTAACTCAGTATACTCTTTTCCATTTAGTTTCCACCTAGCAAATTGTAAAAAGTAAAACTCAGAATGTATCTTTCTTTGTAAGAATTAACATTCATTACTTGAACATCTAGCCCCACCCCAGCCAAAAACATTTATGAAACTTAAAATGCAATGTTTTAAAAGGTATTAAAATATGATCAGAAAATTGGAATGAAGAAATGTTTAGTAAGGTAAAGCATAATACATTTTAACCAGGTCAGTAGTTGTCCATTTGAAATAACCTATAATTAACATTGGATTTTTAAAGTTTAACAGTAACACCAAGGAATGAGGTATGTAAGTTTTTAGATATCACATCAGACTTTCATTTTATGCAACTAACTGTATTTCACAACTCTCATCTTACAAAATAGACAGTACCATTGTGCCTGTAGAAGTACTGCATTAAAAAACAGAAAGATACATTACTACAAGAAACCACCAAACATCACAATTATCAGGGTCTACAAAAATCCATTATTTTAGCTGTTATCAGGATGCATCATATGAAGATATTTTAGGGCTGGATTCACTACCAAAAAAAGTCCATCCCACTTTCACATTGGCCCAAAAATACATATTTTGAATGAGACACAAAGAGAAGAGAGAATTACTGGGATGTGAATGGGCTTCCTTTGGACAGGAGCCAGATGCATTTTTGTATTGAATCTGACCCTATAATTTAAATCTATATATGGATTTTTTTGTGCATAAAAAAACCCAACACCTAGTTGTAAACAAAAATGCGAAATCTGTATTCATAAAAATATTTTATTGGTTATTTTACATAATACCGGGTGGGACTGTAAATATTTTTGCTCTGTATCAGTATATTGCTAAATGCATAAATGTTGACAGTTTATGCCAGAAAATAGGATACTGCATTTATGACTGATGCTACAGTATTTAATAAAGGGCCAATTCAAAATCAAAGAAGCTGATCTAAGAACAAAATGTGACAGTATTCCTTATTTCCTTACTCCTGTGCAACATAGTATTTTTGTACTACACTGATATGCGACTATGACACTGGGCAAGTTTGGGGCAAGGAAATAATGCTAAGCAGAAATGAAAACTGTACTAAAAAGTTATTTTTAAAGCTTTTCCAGAATTTCAGATTTTAAAAATTTACTTTTTGCCAAATGCTTAGTCATTGGAGATTTGATATCGGGTTATAGAACATAGACTATCAGTGTCTAATGACAATGTAGTACTGTATCTGAATTATAAAGCTAAATAACCAATGCTCATAGTATGTTCACTCTTTTTGTTCGTAAACATTACAATAAGTGTTTTAAGTGTGAGGAAAATATTGGTAAAACCAGCAACATAATTCAGTAACAGTAATTTAGTAAACGATGTCAAACATTGGCAAAAATTCATACAAATGTTTTATTTAATAACATTTTTCCTATTTAAGCACACCAAGTACCAGCAGGTGTTTTTAAGAAGATAATAATTATGAAAATTCTGTTGCAGCAATAGTTGATTAAGTTGATCTTTGATTTGCATACATATAACTATGTTTCACAATTCTCAAATAATACATATTTAGGCAGCTTGAACTATGTTATAAAAATTTTAATTCAGTACATGCCAATAGTAGAGACTCCAAGAGTTGTGTTAGAATTCACTAAACTAAAAGTGAAAATGGACTTACCAATAACACTGCATAATGAACATTCAAACCACATTTTCATGGCACCTTTAAATGTGAAGATTAAAAAGTTAGTCTGAAAATGCTTTGTAGGCATTTGTAGATTGCATTTAAATTATTATTTCTACTGCTTCACTTCACTTTTGTAAAACTGCATAAATTATGTTCCAGTAAACATATCAATTGTGCATGGATAATCTGTCATGAAAATGTGGTAGCTGTTGGCAGAAGTTGTGTATTTGCATGTTTTGAAGAGAAGAGACTAAAGAAACTGGAGAAAATAAACTTTAATGAGATTCTCCATTCAACGATGAGGCTTCTCCTCTGGGCGAAGATGACCTGGACATTCCCCTCTCTGTATTGTCAGAGCTAGAACCACTCTGACTGTGCTGATCTGCAGATGCAGTACTGGAAGCAGGTGGTGACTTAGTTTTCTCCTTAAAGTCTGTAATAATGACTGTCAGATCTCCAACGGTAACTTCCAAATGCTGGGCACTACTCCGATCCACATTTTTCAATCTTGGCCTAAATAAAACAGAATCAAATTAAAAGCTAGAAGCTTCCACATCCCATAATCCTCTTGCCACTCCAATTTTTAGTGATCTTTGTAGAAAACGTATAACTTAGTGAAATACTGCACACAGCAATATTATTAATACATAAAATGAGAATGTACTACATAGCTAGTAACTCTATACTGTAATATTTAAATTTTTCTTCACCTCTAAATAATTTGATTTGAACAGGGCCCCCTGGATAATGCGATTAAGGTGGTCACAAAACCGTACTCCACATTTTAAAAATTTTGCTTGTAAAAAATTACCATATATACTCGTTCATTAGCCCATTCGTTTATAAGCCGACTCCCCAAAATGGATGGGTAAAAATAGCAAAAACTCTATGACCCTTTCATAAGCCGACCCTGTATTTCAGGGGTTGGAAAACTTTGGCTCCCAGCCCTTCAGGGTAAGCCGCTGGCGGGTTGGGACGTTTTGTTTACTTGGAGCGTTCACAGGCACGGAGCCCTCAGCTCCCAGTGGCCGCGGTTTGCCGTTCCCAGCCAATGGGAGCTGCGGGAAGTGGTGCCATTTCCCGTAGCTCCCATTGGCCGGGAACGGCAAACCGTGGCCACTGGGACCTGAGGGGCTCTGTGGCTGCAGATGCTCCAAGTAAACAAAACGACAATGTATTAGATAGTCAATTCAATGATTCCGCAGAGTTTAAAATCATCAAATTTTGGTGTAGACCCGTTTATAAGCCAACCCATGCTCTTTGATGCGTCATTTTTTTACCAAAAATATTTGGCTTATGAACAAGTATATACGGTAAGTCTCTAGCCTTCATGGCTGCAAAGAATGTTCAAAATATGACCCCACGGTAATATCAGTGTCAGCAGACAGCCTGAAACAACAGCCCAGAGAAGCATGAACTTCTCCATTCATCTCAGTGGGTGCTGACTTTAAGTTCTGAGTATGCAGAAACCAGCTCCCATGTCCTCTAACCAGTTGTTTCTAAACTTCTACTGTGCAGGTATTAGCAAATACAAATTCTGCAGCACACTGAAAATTTAAAATTTGAAGTGGGCATCATGTAAAAAGAATTTAATTTTAAAATAATTTACACACAAAACACTATGATGACAGGGCTGGAGTCTGGGTTCCCTGATGCATAATTTAATACTAATATCCTGCATAGGACATGGGGCCACAAACTCTGGTTTGATTACTACTTTTTTTTTTTTTGAAGACCACAACAGAACATTTAAACTATATTCCATCAACTTGGTCTTTGCAGGTGCTAGTGCAATGGATGATCTAGGCATGAAACACTTTAAGTTGCTAGTTTTCTGTGTGTGCCAGGGGACAAAGCATGTCACCACAGCAGCTGAAAATACCTGCTGACAACAGCAGCACAGCACACAGCAAGCCTTTTAAAAATGACCTACAGAACCTATATTTGATTCCACAACTTTCTCCAGACCAAGCTTGGAAGTAAAGAAATTAACATGAAACCAAGATTTGGCAGGTGTGCTCCTAAAAGCAAATCTTAACCCTCACCTCGCCTACACAGAGATTTAGAGCCCTGCCTCAAGTAGAACTGATGCTGAGTCACCTCACCCCACCTTTTGCACTCCCACGCAGCCAAGAGTTGAAGCTGCAAAAGAGTTCACAGGGAGCCCAATGCGACTCTTGCCCGAAGGCTGAACTGGCATTAATAAAGAGCCTAACTGGTTGTTCGAAGATGTGGGAGTGGAGAGGAAGGATTCACTTTTGCCAGCCTGAATGGGCTGCATGCTAGAGAGAAAATTTAGGGCTTACTATATGCAGATTTTGTTATACATATTTCTGGAAACATGTAAATGTGCTCCTTTTTAAAGTAATCCACGTAGAAACTAAGGTGAGCATTCTTAATCAGAACCCAGTCTAGCCAAAATCAGATAGTTACTTTTTTTTTTTTTTACTTGTATGTAATACTTGAGTGTATTGAATATGGAAACCAGTAGGTTGATTTCTCTTCACTATTAATTTTTCAAGCAATTCTTTGTACAGCTCTTACTGAGATTTTTATTTTTAAACAACAGTCCCAGCCAGAGGCGTGCACATGGGAGGGCAAGCAGTGGCACGGGCCCCCTTCAATAATTGGCAAGGTCACAGAGCTCCGCTCACTCTCTCTGCCATGGCCCTGGGGTGGGTAGAGCTCTGTGACCCCACCACAGCCAAGTCCTTGTGGATACATTTATTCAAATGGCTCCACTGCACATGGATTTTCATTGAAGTGGTGAGTGTTTATTTCTATGTATGTGATGTACATGTGTGTGCTGATATGGTTTAATGTGTGTGTTTAATGTGCCCTTCCAAAAGCGGTCAAATTTAAATTCCTGTGCACATCCCTGTTCCCGGCCCTTGCAATATCACCCTCTCTCACTTCTCATGTAATAAGACTATTTAACCTTCAGCATTCCCACATAATTGTTACCATTCAAAACAATACCTCTAAGATACTACTTAAAAATGTTACACTCTAGCCAGCCAAAATGTATAATTAGAAATAAGACAAACATTACAAAAATCCTTTATCCCAGCTCTGTTCATTTCCTTCCTGTTGAAAAAAAAATAGTCCCAACCGTTTCAATGTAAATTTGGGGAGTACTCTTTACTCTTTCTGGAGCAGTCCCTGAATAACACTGAAGGTCCTGTTTCATCCAATGCATGGAAAATGTCTGCTACTTCTCTGCAGCAGTGATTCCATAGAATCGTCCTTGGCTGAACTCTGCCTCACAGACTGCAGCACTTCCAAAACACACAGTGACACTATTTCCCTACATTTTCTCTTCCTCTTTTAAGCAGGTTGCATCTCTTTCAGTCTTCTCAGGTTTTCAGTTACATATTTGTGACTAAACTTTATACTTAATTTGGGGAAATCTAGACACAAGCAATATTGTCCCAGAGCTATGCAAACAACTGATTTTTTGGTTTGCTTGCAGTTCCAAACGATAAATTACAAAAAAATCTATTTGGATCAACCCAGAAAGGAACTTTTTCTAGGTTTTCAGTGAATTAAAAAGTTATAAAAATTAGTTTCAGGTTAAATGAAATGTTTCTTTTTACCTGAAACAATGTATATGTATGTATGTATGTATGTATGTATGCATGCGTGTTTTAATTAACACTGAGTGGGTGTTTTTAGTTTTTTTAAATGACATTGAAGGAAATCCTGAAACAGTCCATTTGAATAAAATAAAATCAAAACATTTCATTTTTCAAATATTAAAACAAAATATTTAGACATTTTTGGATTTTGTTTTTCCCCCCCAACACAAAATTTGGCAACACTGACAAATTCATGAAAATTTTTCTGTATCACCGAATCTGTATTTTTGGCTGAAAAATTTCACCTAGTTCTACTTGTGTCTAACATCCTACATTTTTCCTTCCAACTGCAGGGTGCTCCTAGTCCATGGCAAGATCAAGACTTTGCGGCTACTTGCTTGAACTGTCATATTTCAGACTAGTATTCTAAGAGTCCAAGTTATCCTTCAGTTTCTCAATCCACTATGTATGTTTTCAGCTTCATAAGTCAGTTTGTCTCCAAAAGTCGCTATTCTAGCCTTTGTTCCTTATCCCAAATTCTGCATGAATATCAACAACTCTACCTTGCCTACTTCTCCAGAACCTTATATTACCTTTTCTCGTCCAATTCTGTATAAAAATTAGTCACTTTCCTCTTCTCCTGGTTTACTGGAACGTTATATCTTCCATTTTTCTGTCTACAAATCATTTTGCTAGATGAGGAAAACTCTATGCCTTTACTGACAATACCTAATTTTCCCTCTCTTATTTAGTCTCCATCTTGTGGTCAAAACTACAAACTGCAAGATTGCTTCACATTAAACAACAGTATCATAAAACAATGAAACTTCAACAAATATTTAGTCTAATTTTAAAATGACTTAAGAGAACACTTACACTAGTGATGAAAAATGTGCATCATTTAATATTTTACAAATACCAACAGCTTTTAATTTACCTGGTTTTCTTATGACTGTTCTTTTTGCTAGTTGTTTCCTTTTCACTTTTTTCCTTTTCTACTTTGTCTTTTTTCTCTTTCTTTGATTGTGTAGGGGGCACAAATTGCTGAGTAACCTGTTGTGCAACCAGCTGAGAGACAGGTCGAGGTTTCCTGTGAACACATATACATTTATTATTTAGATTTTATAGTGCCAGTTTTATACTCTACATTTCACTGTAATTAAAACAATAGTCAATACAAAATGCAAGACTGTTAAACACATCAAACTGCCAACAGTTCATAGTAATAGCATATCCAATTCAAACTCACTGTATCCTGCCCATTAGCCTACTAATCCACCAAAAGAGACAAATTTTAAGGATTTAGAGACAGGGCTTTGTGCAATGTGTGAAGAGGTGTATCAACCCTGCACCGGCAACATAAGGGTTAACCCAATACTTTGGGCACAGGAGGCCACACCCCTAAGCCATTGCTGGGCATGCTCCCAATGGAGGGAGCATTTAAAAGTATGCAACTCAGTCTGGGCTGGCTGAGGAGGGGGACAGGACATGCACAGTAGGCTGCTGCTAGGAAGCCACCAGAGCTCCAAAGCACTGAGGCAGAGCATCCTGACTATGCCACGAGACCCCAGTTGACCACGGAGACGAGAGAGGATGACGAGCTGCTATCAACAAGGAGCTACAGAATCGGGATTAATGGTAGGAAGTGACCCAGGGTACACGTTTGGGCATACTAAAACCAGAACCCTATACCAGGGTACCTGGTTGTCATAGGGCCTTGGCCTGGAACCCAGTGGAGTATGGAGGCCCCTCCCCTCCCCACAATTGCCTTTAGGCACTATTGCCACTAGAGAGGGCAGCTCCTTAGACTTGCTGTTGGGCAACCACTGCCACCAAGAGAGAGGTGGCCCTATAGACTGTTGCTGTGGAACAATTTGGCCGCCGAAGTAAGTGGCCAGTTATTGGACTTTCACTGCTAGGTGATGTGGCCACTGAAGTATGAGGCCCCTTCTTGGACCCAGTTGACTCACTGACACTGTGTGCCCAGAAAATTAATATATGTAGACACACCAAAGGTGGTGATCTCTGGAATAGGAAGAGCCTTCACAGAGAATGCCCTGTCAGCAGCACCCACCTGTTTAATTTAAAGGTCCCCAGTTTGAGCACATCTGCGGATAGCAAATGCAGTAATATCACATGGGGAAAGAGCTGATTTTTCAGCTCACTAGCTCCCAAGCCATTGTGGGCTTTATAGATTAAATCCTATACCCTTGAACTCCACACAGAAACTTCTTTGTTATATATTTTGTAATTTTTATACTATTTAGTAATAAAAATAATTTAAAAAATGGTGTAACAGTAATTGAAATAGCAAACAGAATGCCAATGTAAATGCCTTCAGGAAGTTATAGTATTTTCAGTAACTACTGTTATTTTTAAGGTTACATGTAGAGTTCCACTGTCAAGCTGAGAGGCCAGAGTGCTGGAGACACAATTTGACTGATACAATGGACAGAAATTGAAACCTAGGTTCACCCAACACCCAGACATGAAGTAAAAACACCAGAACAACAAATGGGGGTAGAAAACCAGCACCCAATTAGTCAGTCAGAACTATACAGTTTATGTCAGAAGGCAAAACATATGACTATTTTCTTTGTGGCCAAGTGGCATACATTTGCACTTGATATTGGCATGTAGTGCATGACTGTCAGAGCATCTTGAGGCCAGAACTGCTGAACTAAAATAGCAGACAGTAGCTGAAATATTTATATGGAAATAGATACACAGATTTTTCAAGATCACAAGAGACCATTGTGATTGTCTAGGCTCACCTTCTGCTTAACACAAGCCATAGGACTTCCTTGTATACCCCTGCTTCAGGTCCAACAACTGTGCTTGAACTAGAGCACACTTTTAGAAAAAAACCACCTATCTTGATTTAAAAATGTCCAATGATGGAAACATCACAAACCTTGGTAAGTTTAATTAATTAATTATCCTCACCGTTAAATAAATAAATAAAATGTGCCCCTTACTTTTAATCTGAATTTGTCTAGCTTCATCTTACAGCCATTGGCTCTTGTAAGACCTTTTTCTGCTAAAGTAAGAACCTTCTATTATCAAACCTCTGTCCCCCTTGTAGGTACTTATAAACTGTGATCAAGTCACTCCTTAACCTTATCAAAGAGAAGATAAATTGCATTATAATGGAAGATTTAAGGAGCTCATAGTCTCTAATCCTTTAATCATTCTCATGGCTATTCTCTGAATTCTCTCCAATTTTTCAACATTCTTCTTAAAGTATGAACACCAAATCTAGACAGTATTCCAAGGATCACATTAACCCTTTTGGCCAGTGTCACACTGGGAACTCATGTTCAACTGATTATGCACTATGGCCCCCAAATCTTTTTCAGAGTCATTATCTCCCAGGATAAATCTCCCATCTTTTAAGTGTGGCCTACGTTCTTTGTTCCTAGATAGATGACCCTTACGTTTGGCTGTACTGAAATGCCTAAACTCAGATTACCAAATGATCCAGATTAATCTGCATCAGTGACCCGTCCTCTTCATTATTTACTATTCTCACAATCTTTGTCTCATCTGCAAACTTTATCAGTAACAATTGTATGTTTTTTTCCCCAATTCCTTGATAAAAAACTTGCATAGAAAGAACCAATCCCTGTGTAATCCCACTAGAAACATAGCCACGCAACAATGATGTCCCATTTATAATTGCATTTTGGGACCAGTTTTTAATCCTTTTAATGTTCTAGTTTATTAGTCAAGAGGTCATGTGGTACCAAGTCAAATGTCTTCTGGAATAAGTATATTACATCAACTCTTAGATTACAAGTTGACTTGATAAAGGTATCAAAAAAGATATCACCTTAGTTTGACAGTATTTATCTTCTGTAAATCCATGCTGATTGGCATTAATTATATTACTGTCCTTTAATTCTTTATTAAGCAAATCCCATTTCAGCCGCTCCATGATTTTGCCCAGGATCAGTGTCAGGCTGGGTCATTCCTTTTAACCTTTTTAAATAATGGCACATTAACATTCTTTCAGTCCTCTAGCTAGACCGTCCACAGTGTCCCAAGACTGATTGAAAAATCAACATTACCCATTTGGAGACCTCTTCCGCAACCTACTGGATGCAAGTTATCTAAACCTACTGATTTCAAAAAACATGAGAATCCCAGCAGGAGCAGACATACATACATGCACTAGTTCTCCTCAAGCTAAACAATAAACAGCAGTGTGATCACAGAAGCATGACAAATAGTGTCTCAGGCTACCCCCCGAGTATGTACCCAGGGGGTCAAGCAGGATTGTACTCAGGAAGCTCGCCTGAATCACTGCCAATGCCGCTATAGCCACACTGCTATTTTTAGGTGCTAACACAAGCAAAGTTAGCACAGATATGTCTACCAATACTGAGAATCATTCCTCCCAGCTGCTGTATAGACATACCCTCAGTTACTGTTTCTGAGGGTGAAAAGTATTTCAGTATCATCAGATGATATAAATGCATCATCTGGCTTCTTGTTAAATACAAAACAGAAACTACACTTGACCAGAGCTCAAAGAGCCTTTTCCTTTTTTACATCATTATTATTTCTGCCACGTCCCTCTAGTAATGTTAGAATTGTTTTGTACTTAACATACTTAAACACCTTTTTATTGTCCTTAATGCTTCTAACAGATTTCTCCATGTGTCCTTCTGCTTCCCTTATCAATTTTCTACACTTCCTAAACTTCTAATTTACATTCAATACTATCAACTTCATTCCTCTATTTTATTTTTATATTACACACACACACACACACACACGTACGTATACACAGCTTTCACTTCCCCTTTAAGCCAGGTCTTTTTTTTTAATTTATTTTAAAAATCAGTGTAGCCTTTTCTCTCTGGGATTGTGGATTTGGGGGCATCTACTAAAATGTTCTTAAACAATTCAATTATCATTCACATTTTTCTGTTTAAGTTCTTTCTCCCAGATGATTCAGCTCAAGTATTTTCAACTTTGTAAATTTGATCCTTTCAACTAAGTACATATTACTGATTTGTTTGCACATAAATGTATTCAAGTCATGATCACGTGCACCTAAATAACCACTAATTTTTACTTCTGAAATCAATTCCTCTTAATCTGTCAACATGAGATCTTATACAGAATTCCCCCATATTGAATCCAACACTTTTTGAGTTAGGGACTTGTCGGCTGTAATATTTAGAACTTCCGAGGAAATAGTAATACTTGCTGCATGAGATCTCCAGCATATGTCATTCAGACTGAAGTCACCCACAATAATGCAGCTTCCCCCCTCAACCCCCACTACACATTATAGATAGGGGTTAAGAAAAACAGAGGAATACTGTACAGTGATCCTGCCTCAGAACTGGCTGCCACTAATGCTCCAGTTGAGGTAGCAGGTGTCAAAATAGGAGGAAACAAGGTGGAATGGATGTATAAAACACCCTTAGGTAGGAATCACCTTCTGACAGAGAGAAGGCTGATCATTGCAAATACATTAAGGAGATCCCTCCAGGAGATGGGGATACAGTGAAACAGACTGTCATGAGGCAATTGTTAGAAATACTACTAATATCTAAGTCTGTGGTGAATGGGAGAAGAAATGGTTATTCACCCTGTGCAGTAACTGTGGTTCTTCAAGATGTGCATCCCTAAGGGTGCTCCTCCCTAGGTGTGCTAGCGTCCCCTACACCCTTCACTGGGTATTATTCATAGCAGTGTCTGTTCAGCCCCCACATGCATGCTAGTCAGCCTCATGTCCTGTGCCATTGTTACATAGTACTGCATGGGCGAACCGCCCTCAGTTCCTTCTCTACTGTGAGGCTCCATAGCAGAGGGGAAGGAGGGTGGTAGTGGAGCACTCAAAGGGACACACATCTCAAAGAACCAGAATTACTGCACAGGGTGTGTAATCATTTCTTCTTTGAGTAGCGTCCCTATGGATGCTCCACTCTGGATAACTATCGAGCAGTTCCCTCAAAGGCAAGGAAGGGGGCCTTCAGAATAGAGTCCAATACCGAAGAAAGTACAGCTGAACTGACCAGTATCAGAAGCAGAGTCGTGAGTTATTGCATAGTGTTTGGCCAATGTATGTCTAGA